AGCATGGCGTCAACAGGAACGAGACATCCAACGTGATCAACGAGAAGAACGAGAAGCACGTGAACAACGTGAAAACTCTCCAATGGAAGTCGACAATCAACTCCGTCGGAATTTATTCCAATGGATATTTCATGCTTACCAGCCTGACCCCACTACGTACCGCAAGGCAATGTCTCGCCCAGATGCGAAACAGTGGGAGATCGCGATGAAAGAGGAACTCAAGTCTCAGGAGGAGAATTCTACATGGATTCTGGTCAACAGACCAAACAACCGGAGAATTGTAAAATGCAAATGGGTTTATGTGATCAAGCCCGACGGCCGCTACAAAGCACGTCTTGTGGCTAAAGGATTCACACAGATAGAGGGGATAGATTTTCAGGAAAACTTCTCTCTCGTCGCACGCTATGAAGCTATACGCTTCTTACTCGCACATGCCGCACTCGAAGATTGGGAAATCGAGGCAATGGATATTAAAACGGCCTTCCTGTATGGCGAGCTCGACGAGGAGATTTACATGGAACAACCAGAAGGCTTTGTGAAGAAAGGACAAGAAAAGATGGTGTGTCGATTGAAGAAGGCTATCTATGGCTTACGTCAAGCCTCACGCACCTGGAACGAGAAGCTACATACTACGCTACTCGAAAACGGATTCAAACGCACGCGCTCAGATGCTGGCGTTTACGTTTACCATCACGACAAAGTCGAAGTTTACCTAATAGTTTACGTCGACGACCTTCTACCAATGGGTCCAAGTTTACCCGAGATCCAACGAGTAAAGAAAGTTCTTGCAGAGAAATTCCAAATGCGAGATCTTGGAGCCGCTAGTACATTTCTTGGAATGCGGATCACTCGTGATAGAAATAACAGGTGTCTGGAAATCGATCAACAATCGTATACCGAAGGAATCCTATCTCGGTTCCAGATGCACAACTCAAAACCTTGCCGTACACCGCTGCCTGAAGGCATACATCTCGAGAAGGCTGCGGAAACATATACCGCTACCGACACACTCCGCCATCACTACCAGTCTATGATTGGTAGCCTCATCTACTTAATGATTGGTTCACAACCCGACATCGCCTGGGGAGTCACACGACTCTCACAATACATGCAAAACCCTACGCCACAGCACGTGGAAGCCGCGAAACATATCTTCCGGTACCTCCGTCACACCACCGAGTATCGTATCTGGTACTCTGGTTCAAATCAGTCCGGTTTGATAGGGTATTCAGACACAGATTGGGGCGAAAATCAGGATAACCGGCGATCAACAACCGGTTTCGTTTTCCTGATGGCCGAAAGAGCAGTCACATGGGCATCTCGGATGCAGAAGACGGTGGCAAGATCCTCGACAGAAGCCAAGTACATGGCACTCTCGGAGGCATGCTCTGAGTTAGCCTGGCTAACGTCACTCCAAAAAGAGTTAGGTTACTTTCCTACTGCACCACCACCTTTGGTAGCAGACAACCAAGGAGGAATCTTTCTCGCAGTTAATCCCGCTCACGACCGAAGGCTCAAGCACGTCGACATTCGATATCACTTCATATGCGAATACGTAGAAGAAAAACGAGTGGATATAGTCTACGTCAGTACGGACGAAATGATCGCCGACACATTGACGAAACCACTTGGTGCAACGAAATTCGAGCGCTTCCGGTCTATGCTAGGCTTGGTCTTCAGTAGATTAGGCAATAACTAGTCGAGTGGGAGTGTCAGAACTGGGCGATTACGTTATTGCCCTGTACGGACTAATGGGGATATCATCACATGATCCCTCTATTATCTTGTAGTAATACGACATCTGATTACTCATGCTTAGTATACATGCTTACGCTCATAGTACCATAGGTCTTATAGCGGTATCAGAGGTCCTGACTCACATGTATATATACTGGCCCTGTAGCACAGAATAAAGTAAGAGTTCAGTCGCACTTTAACAAAGCTGACCGAGAGGGAGACAAGGCGCTATTGTGGATCACTGTCGCGAGATTTACGGTATGTTCAGATTCTCCAAATTTTATGGTACTATTATCCAACGTTATGCGATCGGTTACAGGCGGCACACTGGGCGTCTTGTACAGTCCTTCGCCTGACAACGCGACGTCGTGCAGCCCTACACCTGCGCTTCGACGCGATGGAAATAGGCGCAGTCTTTTTCTGCGAATGGCGCGGTGGACTCTGGGCTTGCGGCTGGGCTTGATCTCGTCGGGTAACCACGGGATGTGGCCGGACCAGAGGGAGTGAGCTGGGGATAACCAAATGACGGCTATCGGGGCGACCGGTAGGCTCTGGTAGACCCAAACGTCGTATTATGTACGCGAAAGTCAGGTGTCAGGCTATACCTTCGCCGTAGCTTATGTAAATTGAGCAAGCCCATTCCTTCATGGCCGTAAACAACGACCAGAGGCGATGGACGGGCAGAGCGACGAGCCTCGTCTCCGAGTTCCTCGGATAAACCACGTGGCTGCTCAGGGATCAATCCGCTGACGTAATGTATCCACCGCATTCACGTCCCTGGCCTCCGGGCAGCTCGTGCTAGTTCTGAGAGGCTCAGCCGGTATTCTCATCCACTCAGCGGCCACGATAACCGCATATCGCAAACCGCGTAAAGCTAGCCGAACGTCTTCGTCACACACCTCCGACTCGCCTGCAAACTATCCCAGGCACAATATTGACCTTGGCTTGTCGCAGTTCAGAGACGATTTTCACATCTCCCAGGCATCTTTTTTTCTCCGCTAAGACCTCCCGTTTTGCCAGCAGCATGCTCGTTGCGTCAGCACCGGTGCATTGCGCACGCTTAGTTCATGGCAACCGTGCGCTTTGACGACCTAACGCGTGGTAGAAACGACATCCCTCTAATGCGAGGTGTGTATGTCCGTCTCCGCATGGAGGATGACTCAGAATTTACTTCTTTGTTTAGCGCACGACCCAAGACGTCGTCAGCAGGGAAGGCGAACATTCACCACTACGCGGGCCGCGCATCGCGGCCTCGGACACTCGTTGAGCATGTTGGCTGAGAGCGCTTGGGGCTGGTGCGCAGATGGTCCGAGGGATATTGTTTACGTACGTCGTTTGACTTAGTTCCTTCTGTGATTGCTGACCGCCAAACAGTCTGATGCTGTCTTCTCGTATCTTCGATCCAACTCTTCCATCTCCTGCATGAACGGTGGCATAGCAATTGTCAAGAAGCGCTGCCATTTCATTTCTCACAGTGGCCTGCAACGCATGCAGGCAATCATCGGCACGCTTGCGCAGCGTATCTCGACGCATTCACGCAAAAGCGGCGAGAGTGTTCGATTTCTGTAATGAAAGGTGAGGCCGACGGTATTATACGTTCGGTATCTTATTGATTTCGTGGGTACGCGCAGATAAGGACAGAAAAGGCCCGCCGTGGGAGTGGACGGCTGGCCGGCGGTGCGCTACTGACAGAATCCGTTCAGCTCTGAGCCAGGCTGCCGCCTTTTGCCCGACATAGACTCGAACTGCAGGAAAACCTCCAGATTCATATTTCGATGGCGCACATGCTCTTCCTCGGTGTAGTATCGCTCCCGCTAATTGCCACGCCCACGTCTCCTGCGCCTTCTCTCCGTTCCCGGTAGCCCACATGCCCAATTATACTGGCGCACTTCCCCATTACCCAACGCCTCCGTCTGGCGCTTAGACTACGATACCTCAGCGGTCTTATTCCACCTTACGGGTCGGGAGTTAAGCACTCGCAAATATCTCGTCGCTCGCTGCGGGTTTCGATCCAATCTCCGGCCATTCTTTATGCTCGAGTCTGATCGACCCGACGCACGTTGGATCGTCGTTCACCACGGTGCGCTAGAGAAGGGGACAGAGAGGATGTTCGGATTGGTCAATGGCTGCGGAACATCTGCGCGTGTTCTCGAGTGCGTCGCATTGCAATGATCGCCGCCGAACGTGAGCGCACTGATCATGTCAGTTTGGGTCGCCGTCGAGGATCTTCCACCGCTCTCGACGTGTGGGAGCCCAAAAGGCTGTGCGGTCTAAGCGAAGGGGTCAAGTGGGCGGTACGTCGTACCTCGTCTCCGCTGTGCACAGCGCCCTTCTGACGGACTGCAGTTTGTTGCAGCTTCGACATATCGAACGCACGCAGTATGTCATGTAGTACGGCTCGCCAGGGCCATTCGAACCTTGGATACCCAATCGGGACGCCAGTGTAGCGCCCGTTGTATGTCTTTCGTTTGTTTTTGACTCTCCCGGCTTCACGCGTCACGCTTGCTCTCGCTATCGCATCCGTGAACCAGGTATGTAATTCTGTATTTATTACTCTGACCATGTCTAAATGCAAACACTTGCTCTCGCTATCGCATCCGTGAACCAGTTCCCGGCCTGCTCCCCGTTCGCACGCCCGCTCCGCCTGCCAACCCCGCAAGTTGTGAGCGCTGAGTGGCCCCCAACTTGAATCCATTGCCCACGCTTTTCAAGCTTCCGACGCATGTTAAAACGTTGAAATTTAAACGTTGTACGTTAGCCAGTTTACCAGGCAGCCGATGGATACTTATGCGAGGCTGGGAAGTCGACACCTGGAACGCCTCGGGAGCAGTATGCGCATCGGGAGCTGCGCTTCGAGGTGCGTCCCTTTGGGCCTAGCATATATGCGACTCGTGCTAAGCATGAGTGTGCGCGAAACAGAATTCTGTGCACTGAGCATAGAAGATATAACGCTGATACCTCCGCAAACTTAATTACACAAGTAGCAAATAGCACCGCTCGCCTCGCATGAATGCGATCGCTTGGAACCCTCATTGGAACTGACTGCCGGCTGCGGCAAACGTTACACAATTCCCGATGCAAATTGAAGCAGCACAAGATTGAGACGCAGTGTCCCGCTGAGTGCATGCCTGCTTCCCGCATCCGTTGATACCGGCAGCTCTCAGGAACACTCCGAGGTGGAACAACAGGCACACTACATATGTACGAATTTCTCGCGTATGATATGCTATCGCTAGTGATGTAGTGAAAACCCCAGGCGATCCGACGTGACTCTATAGAGAGCGAGGCGCATTGTGCGAGTACGAAATGCGAAGCGCAGCTACACCACGACCGAATATGCATTCTAGGCGCCCGTCTATCACGAGATGTAGCAGTACAGCCAAGGCTAGAGTGAGGATGGTCGTCGCATGACGAGCTAGTGTATGCATGACACGGCCAAGCGTGTCTGAGCATGAGATAAACGGCGGCTTCGCGCGCGATACGCAGAATAGGAGGTCGCACTGACCCACTAATGTGATGAATCTCGCACGGCGGGGGCAGCACCACTGACATACGAAAGTAACCTTAGCAGCGTGGCGGCGAGCGGCGAGCGGCGAGCAGTACGACAGACGCTGCCTGCGACCCCAGCCAGGACGCTCTGCCGGAGCAAGCCGCGCAAGATGAGACTTCTCGTGGGACGAGGTGGGCCTCTATGTCGTTTCCTTCACATGGTCAGACTTAACGGAGAACGTTTTCAGCTAGGCCGTTCATTCCGTCCGTCGCCATCCTTCGTTCTCGATATTTGTGTCAGCACCAGCCCCCCCCCCAAGAGCAAGCGCAGGCTGCACCCATTTTTTTTGGACCTTTCTCCTTCTCATTCTCCGTAGCAATCTCAGGCTACCCAAGAAGCTAATTCTCGCCGAGAAAAGCTCAAGTCTCACGACCAGATTATCACTGTTGTGTGGAAGCGCTCTCAATATCTTCTTCTTCTCAAGATCACTGTCAGCTGCGTAATTTAGGAGGAATCGGATCATGTCAATCTGGTCGCCGCGCATAGCCGAATCTTACCGTTGCTCGACTTGTACACCGTTCCCAGACGATCGTAGTCGCGGTTTCGCTCAATGCGCCGTTGCTCACCCATGCTCAAATCTTGGCTCTGTCGGCCATCCAACGGAACACCATAGTAGGCATTCCTCTGCATTATTCACCCCTGGTAGCACAGTGCTCGATCTCAGGCGTTGCCCATTCCTCCACGTCAGCGACTCCGCACCGTGAGAACAGGAATTTCTGCCGTTCTCAAGCCGCCTCACTCCGCTGCTGGCGCAGATGCAGAACGGCAATAGCTCTGGTGGCGGCTTGCCAACGAGCCGCTCCGCAGACAGGCGTCAAGCGCTGTCGTGCTCGCAGAGCAAGTGCTGACGTCAGTGCGCCCTCCTGCGCAAGTGCGACGTTGGAACGAGCGGGCATACTGGCACATGAGCGCTATAGATCCCAACTCGAAACCTGTGTTGCTAGCATCCGTATCGTGTCTCCAATCCTTAAGACTCAGCTTCGGTGCATAACTACAGCATGTTGTAGTAAAGTGAAAATGCAGAAAATATGCAATAGTACGAAAGGGAGCGAAGCTCAGTGCTACAAGTACGAACGCTGCGTCCGAGTCAAGTTACAATCAAAATCTGATCCCCGAGGTACATAATCACTACCGATAACGTCTGCGCTGGAAAGTGCGGTCGAAAGACCCCCATAATCTTGGTAACTCCTGTCTTGACGTAAGGCAAGCAAGGTAGTTGCCATCTCAGACAGCTTTTCTCTGGTAATATTTATACTGTGGTGCCATTGCTCCAATTAGTGGAAGTGAACGGATCAACGAAGACACTGTGAACGGAGGCGAGAGGATGAAGGACAGGGAGTGTTAGAACTCTGAAGGATCAGAAGATAGTATCGAGATGTTGTCTGCAGCGCGCATAAACGTCCCAACGATGCCCTTCTCTGCACACCTCGACAGCACCACAATGCGTTCGTCGGATGAGCCAGCGGCGGGGCAATCCCAATCTGCCTCGCTCTCTGCGAGAGCCTCAGCCATTATCTTCTTCCTACCAACGACAACTCGACAGTGCTTCGGACACTCGTTTTCAGGGAGGCCGTCCGCACAGTCCTGGCAAAGGAGATGTCCGCAAGGCTGTAGTTGAAAGGTCGCAGTGGCGGCGCAGTAACAACACCCGTACTGCGAGGGGTTCGCGTCTCGTCGTTTGCTAATATCCGCCCGCAAAGATTCGATCGAAGCGAGTGAATGACCTGACGAGACATTGTTTGCGGAAGGAACTCCCTCGTCGTACAGAGCGAACCAGGGCAAATCAGCCTCGAGGTACGTCTTGATAGATATCGGGGTGGGGGTTGGCGCTCTACCAGTGAGCTGAGAGAGGAATGCCGGGCTTATGATCGTGACGTGGAGACGACAACCGGCGCCGAAGTTGTATGCAGCGGCAGAGAAGCGATCGCGGATTATTTTCTGCGATATTTTGCCGCCCGCGGCAAAGCCTGCACCATCTGCCCTGTCCGGGGCATCTTGAACTCCTCCTCCGCCTCTAAGTCTGGTGACCAGATGTAGTGTACTTTCGTTGGTGACGCGGCACTCTGGTGTACGCCAGTTCCAGTCAACTACGTTGTATTAATTCGACGAACACGATAAGACACACCCGCGAGAGTTTTGTCATCTTCGAGCTGTCGACCGCAGAATATTATTCGCTGCTGATCTACAGGGATGGATAATTCATCCTGAACCCTATATTTGATGCTTAAAATATTATCAAAGCAATGGACATCCAAGTGGACGGCCCGTCGGTCCAATGTTTTGATGTCGATTCTCACTGTCGTTTGAGTAATGGTTAGGCGAAGCTGAATAAGGGCAGAACTGGCATACTCTGCACGTTGTATACACCGCCCACGGCGCATAGATATAGTGTCGAGCCAACTTTTGGCGGCTTGTAAGTGCCCCCCTGGACCAAAGGCCTAGAACTAGGAAGAGAATCAGGACCGATCATTAAGTTGTATTTATATTTGCGCACAAGGACTCGTTTATGCAGACAATGATTTCGCCAACGCGGAGGTTTCATCTACGAGCGGAGTAGTCCTTGTATAGCGGGATTTGCTCTGGGCCATAGTAGAAGAAGGGAGGTGCATTATAGAGAGGGAAAACATCAATCTGTACCCCGCCTACATTCTAGTTGGTGTTTTGACTTCAGGGCCATCATGATGAACCGGGAGAAGCCAACGCACCTCCTTTCCAGTGATCTGAGCTTCTATGGTGAGTCCGTGTCCTGTGGGTACAGCAACAAATTCTGCAGGTGGCAGTTGTGAGCATACACGACTCTCGGGAGTTGGCGGCACAATTACATACGTCGAACAACACCTCTTTCCGTACTAAATCCGTCCTGGCACGAATATCACCAATTTAATACCGTCTTTCGCAAAATACTCTCACCAGCCACCTGCAAGTCAAATCGCGAAACCGGTGAGCATATGTAGAAGAGCCTTGGTTCCAATGACTACTCACGCCTGGGCAGCATCATCCGATCCTACCGTCAAGTAGTCTTGCCTGCCTTTAGCTCTAACATCTTTAGGCATGCCCGTGATAGCATTGACTCCTCCTGTGGATACTTTGACGGCGTAAGGATTGCGCGCTTCAGTCTCGACGAAATTGATCCACATTGCTTCGCATTGGTGCATACCCTACATGTCCCATAATGAGTGTTTAATTGGATACCGTATGTGCTCAAACCCGACCATGAGAATGCCGCCTTTGCGCGCGATAGATTGAGGAAGCTGAGAGGCGAAGTCTGCAGCATTGCTTGAAAAATGTGTCAATAAAAATTCTCTGTAAAGATGGTGTGCTTACTACAGAGGGAATTTACCGAGCTGAGTGGGTAAAATGTAGGTCTTCCCATTTTCTACCGCCGATGAAGAATGTACACAGATTGATACAATTATCAATCGCTCTGCAACGTACCAGGCACTCTGAGAGTCCTACAAATACCGTGGATGAGAGCGCCACTAGCAGTGCGTCGAGCATATCATGACGTACCTCATGAAAGCAATCGATACACCTCCGACGTCCACTGTGTCACCGCGTTCGCCGATTTTGGCGCAGCTAAGCCCGAGTAATGCGTCACCCTCCACATCTGTTTGAGTATTGTACCGAGGCATATCGATGACATCATGCAGATGATTGTGGTAATACCGACATAAGGGCTCGTCACTGTAGCCCAGTAAGATATGGGCAACGTATACGAAGAGACTCTTACACATTGATACATCCGCTCAGTGTACTAGAATTAAAAGATGATGGTTCCTCTACAACTTTGAGGTTGACCCGTGTACGCGCACTGAATTTTGTCAGCTCCGGGAATTCTAAGCCCGAGAATGTAAATATGTGACATTGCCGCATGTCATGATATACTAACTGTTCAGACACATTTGTATGGCAAGGTAGTCGAACGAGACCGGAAATGGAACGTCATGGAGGACAAGTCGGTCGGGCTTGCCCACTGCATTGTCTGTGTGAATCACAACCTCGACCGTCTCCTCGTTCTGCTTGGACTGTGCAGCTTGAGACGAATGTGTGGACATCTTCAAGCCACAGTTAGTAGATCGCTAATGAGACTATCAAAATGCGAGAGCAAGTGGCAACCAAGGGGGTTGGCACGATTGCAAGCGTTAAGGATAACCTATCTAGGCGCTGAGCCTGCGTTCGAATGCCCGGAACCCTGCAATGTGAATTGCATCAAGAGGAACGGTTTGGCTCGTGATTAGCCCTACTAGGAAACTAGCGTATGAACTCTGCGTTATCGTCCACCGTGGCTAGTGATTTGACTGGCTTGGCTTCAAGCCAGCAAGCCAGCCAAACCAAGCCTGCACAAGCCGGGCCAACATCAGGAAGCAGCGTCTGACTACGTAGCGAGGGCGCTTGCTACCCTGAGCCACCGCATCTGCCCTTGTCGGGTAGCGCACGCGTAGAGGCTCAGGAGTGCCTGGTAGTACCCAGCGGCAGCGCACACATTTTAGGGGTCACTACGGTATGCCAGAAGTTATATATTGGTTATTCAAGCTACAATGTGCAAATTTGTATGCGGGACACACACCTATGTCATTACTGGACTAAAATTAGATTAATGCACCGAAGAGCAGCACTCCAAGGCAAACTCGTGTGGATGTTCAAGCTCAAGCTCAAGAGGCGTCTGCTGAAGTACAAAGACGTTTGCCCTAAAGTGTTGGATGATGGCGCGACGGACAAAGGTAAGCGCTCGAACATCTCGTCGTCCCAGCTTCCACATCAGCCCATGGTAATGCAGCTCGACCATCCCTTCGGTATGCTGCCGAGACTATAGCCGTCACTGACTCTCCGCCTTCCCTGGGACTCTGGAAGAACAGACAAGAGCTGGCTGTGGTAGTCGAAGCTTGCGATATTCCCGGACCCCAAGCATACTGCTACCGACATGCCGTGTTACCATCGGCGGGGCAAGCAAGAAAAATGACAGTGCGCCCTAGGGCCATGCCCTGTCTCGCTGAGTAAGGAGCTTGTGGACTGCGCGGTAAGCATCACGAACTGCAAGCAGCTGCGGAGGGCCAGGTTGTCCTTTGCCATTATATTCTTTCTTTAGCCAACATATCACTGATTTTTGGACCTATCAGGCTAGCATGTGCACATGCTAGACTCGGATACAGGTGGACGCGGACAGCAGGGTTATACAGGTGGCAGACAAGGTAAGTATTCTCTCTGCACGACTTGGCTATTACTGAGCTAATTTTGCACTAGCTCATAGAAATCCGGCTATGCTGATCTCTCCACCATGTCCCTCATAACTATCAAGTCCAATGCCGCTTCCCAGGCTGAGTAGGTGACCACCGCTGAAGAGCCTGGTACTTAGGTGTGAGTACTGCCTTCTCTGTTGTTACCATGAATAGC